TTCGGTGAGCCTTCCTGGAAGTTGGCTCGATGAAGGCGAAATGGATCTCATGTTTTACAAGAAACGAACCATATTCCATATTATGGATCGTTGTATTCGCCTGGCAGCAGGCCAAGAAATTACCGACAGAGAACGCGACGCGATACTCGACGCTTACCACTACTGCTGGATTGCCTATCGTGGACCCTTCAAAGTCTTGTACTCCGATGGAGAAGGCGCCCTGAACAATGATACCGCTACGGCCATGATGGCGAATAAGGGTACAACACTCCGTATCCGAGCGCCTGGCCAACGCGCGACTTCAATCGAGTCACGAAACGGTATTCTTAGAGGCGTCCTCCACATGATTGAGGAAGAGCTGAATAGACGCAACATCCCTGTTGTATTCACTAGAGTATTGGCTGAAGGCATCTTCGTTACCAACGCCTTCACGTTTTACAACGGAGTATCGCCATGCCAAGCACACACTGGACGCCAGCCCTCCTTTCCTCCTGATCTCGACACCCTTGACTTTCCCTAGGGGCCCGAGACATCAGGCCATGAACGGGAACGTCGTGCGAGGGAAGTTAGCCTAGAAGCAATAATTCAAGCCGCGGCTGTGGCCAAGACAAATCGTGCTCTCAGGGCTAAAACGGCTCCAGATGGTGCTCGCCTTTACTCAGCAGGGGATCTGGTCGACTACCATCGACCCACTGCCACTAAGGACGATCATGGAGGCTGGAACGGCCCATTCCCTGTGATCCGTAACGTGCCCGAAAGAGGACGCGTCGTTGTCAAGGCAGGATCTCGTGAGGCAATTGTGATGTATCTTGACGTTCGTCACGCGCTATACATTGAATGTCTCCTCGCACGGGAACTTGGCATGGACAACGTGGCCATGCAAACAGTCCTTACGTATGTGGCACACCTCGGCGCAGGGAAACCTGCCAAAGTCTTTGGCTACATCCCAGACTACAAGGGAAACCTCAATCTTTCAGACGACAGCAAGTTTCACCCGCGCGTACATCTTGCACCACAGTATCTCGTGCGAAACTATTTCCGAGTAGAACACGTAGGGGCAGTTAGATTGGCCAAAAGTGCGTCAAGTCTACCTGCAGTAAAGTACGCCACCGGGTCTACGCTGATCCACTACTACGACAATGATGTCAGCCCAGCCTTCCACTATTATGAGTGTGTGGGCACTGGCCTGAACATTTTTCAAGTCACTGGTAGCACTCATTCCAGACTTATCCAATGCTTGACCTCACACGTTCCTTCCCTTCCTTAGGATTTCACGACGACCTGGCCAAGTATCAGCACTCGGGCACCACGTCTGGAGAACACGATTCGCCTGGAAGCAGGCCTCCACCAGACACCCCAGGTGCCTCATCGCCACGTGAAGGCCGTCTGTCGACAATCTATGAAGATAGCGAGGAACATAATATCGAAGCCATGATGCTGGAAGAGTGGTACGACGAGTTACGTATGCACCTTCATCCCACGACGACAACCGACGATTATCTCTACTGCGTCCCAACAACCATGCTGCCCGACCAATGTGTTTTGGTTTCAGCATCTGTGGACGAAGAAGATATCGTATTGTCGGAAACGCTCGGAGACGAGCCTGAACCACAAGAGCCTTGTCTAGTCTCTCTCTGCTCAACCACACCTGACGAGAGCTACTCTCTTGACAGTGATGAATATGGTCCCTATGTTGAGTTATGTTTTACACCAGAAATGTCAAAAGTAGTGTTGGATCAGACTCAACTTGCACAGCTCGACACTGATATGGTCGCAACGATGAGAGTATATGTATCCTCTGCTGCTAAACGTGCTGTGGTAGTCAAGGAAGACGACCTACTCACCAAAGCCGACATAGCAGCACACCTGAAAGAGGTTCGTGAAGCTTTGTACACTGAACTCAAGATCTGGCTTGACAACCGGTGCTTTGAGATGTATGATTTATCCAAAGCTTCCAACATCATGACATCCAGGTATGTATATCAGTGGAAGTTTGTGAAGGTAGGTACCGAGAACGTTAAAACCATCCGTCTCAGACTTGTCCTTCGTGGATTTATGGACACTGAGGCTTTCGATGTGGAAACCTTCTCGGGAACCGCTCGAAGGCAGTCCCAGGGGCTCCTAGCAAGTGAGGTGGCATGCCATCCAGAGTGGATCTTAGCATCCATGGATGTCGACAAGGCGTTCCTCAAGGGTTTGACCTATGAGGAACGTGCCCGCGCCACCGGCGAGGAAACTCGCATGGTTTGCTTCACCCTTCCACCGGGAAGTGCCCAGGTACTTCGTACACTGCCCGGCTTTTCATCCTATGACGAAAGCCGACGCTGCCTCAGGTGCCTCAAGCCAGGAACGGGTACAAAGGACGCCCCAAGAGTGTTCTCTCTCAAACTTCGTACGACCACACGAGCTATAGGCCTTGCACCGACAAGTTATGATCCTGAGTTTGAATTCAGCCAAGATTTGCTAACGGCAAAACATGTCGATGATATTGATATGACAGGCCTAGAGAAACATATAGACGACTATGTACAACGTGTCGAAAAGGTGTTTGGCACATGCAAGCTTAACAAACACTCATATACGAACTGCGCCGTTCGCTACACTAAGAATGACCAAGGGGATGTGATCATGGATCAGGACGAGTATATCAAGCAACCACGTCCTATCACACACCCGGAACTTACAGGAGCGGCGGCCGATGCCAAAGCCACCAAACTCATTACCAACATGTTCGTCAGCTTGCGAGGGGCCCTCGCCTATGCCCTTCTTGCTCAAGTCTGTCTCATGGTATACGTGGTCTCTCTTCAGAAAATCCAAGAGCCCACCAACCCACAAGTCAGACGACTGAATGCTGCGACGCGAAAGCTGATCAGCAGCCCGAAGCGCATCACCTTCCCTCGGATGAAGCCGACGAATGAAGTTGACATACACAGCGATTCAGGGTATCGGAAGCTCACCGGGGAGGAGGGCGATGAGACCAAGGGCTATGGCATACGCGGGGCCAACGTACTACGGCGAGGAAACTCGCCTCAAGGCAAATCCGTCGTTCACCTCTGTGACGGACTATGCAAATCACACCGACTGCAGGTGAGGTCCAGCTATGCCGCGGAGGCACTCGCAGCTGCACATAACCTCGATGAGTGTTACCCTACGCTCATCACTCTCCACGAGCTCAAGGCAAGGGCTCTGGCTCCACGACAACTACGAGATATGCGTGAAGTTGGGGGCCTAGCCATTACAGTATCTCTTACCATAGACGCTGAGTCGGTTTATAAATCGCTATCAAAAAATGATCTTAAGATACCGACTGAACGGACCTTGCTTGGACATATCAGCTGGATACGTGAGCTCATGGATATAGGTATAGTGCATAATGTGCAGTGGTGTGATACTAGATATATGACCGCAGATGGGCATACAAAGGGAAGCATCGATCGGGAGCTGCAGTCATTTAAGTATGACGTGAAGCAGTTTGTTCCCTTTCGGGGTCCCGAGGACAGAAACAAGCCTAAGTCTAATCAATTTTAGTCTGTCCTTGTTGCCCCCGCGGTCCAATTTGCCAGCATGGGCGCCTACTACAGAGGCGCCCTTCTAGATGCTTGGAAACGAGCCTTACATTTCACGCCTGGCAACGAGCCGGCTATATGTGATTCAGGCTCTTTGCCTTAATACCCGTTTGCTCGGTGAGGTATGGTCCGTTTGGTTTACCTCTAGCCGGGCCGATCGCCCTTTACCATTCAAGGGGCTGTCTTGTATTTGCGTGAAATGCCTTGCGAGGAAACTCGCCTTACAGTCTGGTGTTAGGCCAGTCTGTACGCACTGTTTTCTTGCAAACAGTTGCGCGCGGCCTTTGTAGAGCCTAACGGCTGCGCGGCTATACTCTCCGTCTCCTCCCCTCCCGACTTTAAGGGTCGCTCTTTGGGAGATGTTATATAGAATCGGGAGTATAGTTCGCGCGCCGTTGCCTTTGGCTCAAGGCACGCGCGCCCTATTTGCCCGGACACTTACCTTAGTGTTCGCTATGTGCTGTAAAGACCGATACATCGATCTTATCCTACCTTACCCATCCTCTCCCCATATCGTATTCCTTCGACATGGAATTGGATGCAATGTGACCTACCAGGCTCACTTCCGACTAAGCTGGCGGTGGGTAGGCGTGCAGGGGCTGTGCGCGGGGGCCGGGTGGGTGGAGCGGGTCGGGCGGGGTGGGGCGGGCAAGGGCGCGAACAGTTAGGGCGCGGAAGGCGACCCGGGGGGTTGAAGCTGGTGGTGGGTGGGCATATTGGGGCTGGGCTGCGCGCCAGTGCCGAGCGGGTGGGGCGGGTCGGGCGAGTTGGGCGGACAGGAGCGCCAACAAATGGGCAACGTTTGCGTCCGCAGGTGCATGATTTTGCGGAGTTCGGCGCTCTGGCGCGAACGGCCGGACGACCCAGAACGCGGGACTTTTCGGCCACGCGGTCCGCCGCCACAAAAATTCTTGGGTTGGGGCAGGCCGGGCAAACACGTCAATGCCACATCGACTATGGACGGGTGGGCAGCTGTCGCGATGGGATCCTCCCGCGTCCCATCGCCGCGAAGTGCAGCCGAAGAGGAGGAATATGATGATGATAATGAGAAGGAGGAGGAGGCGGAGGAGGAGGAGGACGAGGAGCAGGAGTAGGAAAATGGCGTGGCCCCCTCGGCGGAGGCGGGGTGTTGGACGTATGGGTGGCCAGGCGGGTGGCGCTGGCGGCCGCTTGGAAGTCTGGGCATGTGGGCGGACATCGGGTGGGGATGATGGGCGGGCGGTCGGATGTGGGGTAAGGTGGTGGTTCTGTGGTGTGTGCGTGTTTGCTTGTGTGTGTGTGTGTGTGTGTGTGTGTGTGTGTGTGCGTGCGTGCGTGCGTGCGTGCGTGCGAGGCGACCGAGGACCTCCCGCAGCATGCGGGGTCAGACGCGCGCTCCCGCGGTGGAGAGGTGTGCGAGCCCCCAGGGAACAGACCCCGCGCGCCCCGCCGCAGGACCTGGTGGCGGCGGCAGCTGCGGCGATGTGTCGGTGTGCACCGGCTGCAGCGGGAGGCAGTGCCAGGTGTGCCAGGAACGGGCCCCCGCGCAGCCGGCGGCACGGCGGCCGGCCGGCCTTTGGCCGACGATGCACCCACGGTGGGCGGCGTTTGGCGGCGCGCGGACCACCCTGCGAGTGCGTCGGGGTGATTGGGTTCACCTGCCGCGGCGCGGGTCCGTCTTGGGCCAGGGTCAGAGGTTCAGCCCTTCGCCATGGCAGGGCCCACGTCTTTCCGATCGATCCGACTGTGTATCGATTCCAGCGGGCCCCGTCCGACTCGATCCTGACATGATACGTATGGTTGGTATGTATGTATGTGTGTATGCATGCATGTATATCTGAGTGTAATGTATGTTTGTCTGAAGCCATGCATGTATATCTGTAATGCACTATAATATAATGTAGGGACATGTGATGTAATGTAGTGTAGTGCAATGCGATATAATGTAACGCATGTTTATGTGTATGACTGTATATCAGTTACTGCGATGTAATGTAATGTATACAATGTAATGTAGGACAATGTAATGTCTTGTGTTGTATTGTATGCGTGTATGGCTGTATGCATGTATGCATGTATGTGTTGTTGTGCGTATGTATGTGTGTATACATGTATGTATGCATGCATGCATGCATGCATGTCTGTATGCATGTATGTATGTATGTACGTATGCATGCATGTACACATACATGTGTATATTCTAAATATATACACATATATGTATACACATATATGTATAGATTCCGACGACCCGATGCGGCCCGATGCTTGCATGGCGTTCTTGTGCATTCGACGCATGCAGGCCTGGGATGAGGACGGCTGGCTCCTAGCGCTCTGGACGCCTCCGGACCGTGCCAGGGGCGCTCTGGGACCGCCGCGGCGCCCCTGCTGTGTGCCTCCTCGAGGCCCGCCGGCTCGCGGGGATTCCCGATGTCAGCCTCCTCCTCTGGATTCGTGCCTTCGTCTTAGGTTTAAGTCGGGCCTGTCCCTCTACAGGAGCGATATTCAAAAATAGTCAAGAAGTCGTCAGGGGACGATTTTGTGGGTATGTTTTAGCATTTGGGGATTATTTTTATAGTACTTTCAATATTTCACCCAACAGTCCCCTGTAGGGGGACAGGCCCGACCTAATCTTAGGTGCAACCCTTCGCCAGGCGCAGTGGTATAGGGGAACAGGCCCAGGGAGGAGCGCATCGCCCTCCTCCCCCGCCCGTCTCGTCGCCCCACGGCCCCCCCCCCCCGCCCAGGAGCGCGGGGCATCCCCTGTTGTGCGTCCCTCCACCCTTTCTCTTTTGTTTCCCCTTCGGGGTGCGACTCACACGCCGCGATCCTGTACAAGAGGCTTGCATCATTTTGCCGACTTCCCGAGAATGAGGTGAGACGGAGGAAGAGGATGACATTGAAGACGATGACGACGACGGTAGGAGCAAGAAGGATGAGGACGAGGACGGCGAGAAGGTCTCTGATGCTCTTGGGAGCCTTTGTGCTATGCGTGGTGACGCCCAGGCCCACCTCCGGACCAGCCGCCCGCGGCAGGCTCCACATTGCGGCGCCTCCGGCGCCGCCCCCGAGGGAGGCGGGCCCCGAGGTGTTTTTTCTTCGGGGGGGGGTTGAGCCCGCCGGCGGGTGGGCCGTGGCCGTCGAGCAGCAGGAGAGGGGGGAGGAGCGGAGGACATGCACGCGCACGAGGCGTTCCAGAAGAGGGCCCTGCCCTCGAGGATCGGAGGAGTGGTCGTCGCCTCCTCGGTGGAAGGTCAGTCGGCGGGAGGTGCACATTGAGGCCGCCTCCGCGCCGCCGCCGCCGGGAGCCGGCCGAGGGGCGGCGGCGGGAGGCGGCAGGAGCGTAAGAGGTGCCCCCGAGTCGGCCACAGGAGTCCACGCCGGTTTCGAGAGCGCGCACTGCGCGAACGTTCGTACCACGCGGTTGCTCTCGCGGACTGGGGGGCCGTGTTCATGTGCGTGGGTGGGCGCGTACGGTGGGAACCCAGGCGCCAGGAAGCACCCTGCTTTCCTCCAGGGTGTACTGGGTTCCTTGGGCTTCGATGGTTTTGCGATGGAGATCGCGACGCTTCCACATCAAAAATCAATCGACGTCCGGGTCTCAGGGTTTGGGTTTCTCGTGGAAGGTTTCTTGTGGTCGGGCCTCCACTGTGCGTCCTCCGCGGGCTCCCTGGAGAGTCAGGGTGAAGAGTCGGCCCCTGGGGGGAGAGGCCGCCGGTATGCAGGGCCCGCCCTCTGGGCCCGCCTGCCACAGTCGTGCCAGGGAGGCGCCTCGGAGGCTCGTGGAGGGGGGGTTGTTCCAATGTGGGAGGGGGGGGCCGGCCACGCCGGATGCTCACAGGTCTCTCCTTCAGGACTACCCATCGGTCGTTGACAGTAGGTATCTTTCTATTCTCAGTCCCCAATCTGCTTTAGCCGCCTTCCTGCTTCAAGAGTCGAGTGGTTTTCCCTATTCCCTCCTCTCTATGGGGCGGGCGGACACCCAATCTACCTTCGACGCCTTCCTACTTCATGTTTCTACTTGCTTCTTCCGACCGGTGAGTCGCCTAAACCGAGTTTCCTCTGACCCAACTCTGCCCCTGTCCCACCTTTGCTTCCCCCGAGCGTCGCTCTCGCGCGGGGCGGCGCGGGAGGATGGCAGGAACGCGCCACCTCCCCCACTTGCATCGGTGCCTGCCCAGGCCTGCTTGAGTATCCAAGTGGATTGCTCCCTGCCGCCTTCCCTCCATCCCTCCTTCCTCTCTCCCTTCTCGCCCATCCATCCTTCTCGCCTCTCCGCTCTCTCGGTCCCCCCCTGCCAACGCTCACAGAGGCGCAGCGGCTAATTAGGGCACGCCTAGGGGCGTCAGAGACTCCGGCAGCACAGCAGGGAGACCTGGCCTGCACTCTCGACGGGGTTCTCAATGCTGGGCCCGCCCGAGCTTTTCCCCCTGGGAGGACACGCGTCTGCGGCATAAATAATTTTGCATGGTATTTCCGCACCTGTCCAGGTCGATGCTGCCGCTCCATAGGGGTCCCTGCAAGAGGTGCTCCTTGGCACAGCCAGTCTGGATCACATCGGGCATACAGTTTATGTGTTATCCTTGCTTTGCTGAGAATTGCTGAAACAGATGTACGTTTGGAGGACACGCAGGAGCGGGACTGCTGCCTGGACGCGGTGTGCAAGGGGTGCTCAGGGGAGCAGTGCGCCATGTGCCGCGGCGACAAGATGTCGGAGTGCAGCCAGCTCAGCGTCCACAGGGGGCGGCACCCTTGAAGCACCCGCAGACCTGCCTTGCCAGGGGCCGCCTTGGGCCCAAGCTGGTGGCGGCCAGACCCGCCTGTCCTCGGACAGGGGGGCGTGCCCAGACATTTTTTTTTGTCCGCGGCGAGGCGGGGCCATCCGCACCAGCGAACGAGCGGAGCTGGGGCACTATGACGCGCGGGCGTGCCCAGGCACGCGACGTCTCGACTCTTTCCGTGCTGTAGGGGCGTTCGTGCGAGAAGGCGCCCGGGAGGATTCAGGCCCGGGAGGGCTCTTCGTCTGAGGATGGCGGCGGTGACAGCCATGACCACTCCACCATTCGAGTTCTGTCCAGCGTCCCGACCCTGGATTCCCTGTCCACTGGCTCCTAATACAGATCGTAAGCTTAAGTGGGGCACGTCCATCTACAGGATGACTATTCAAGAAGAGTAACAAGTAATCTGGGGATGATTGTTTGACTATTGTCGAATTTTTGTTTTAGTATGTTTTGACTATGTTTTATTTTTCGTCCAGATCGGCCTGTCGGGGGACAGGCCTGGCTTAATCGTACGCGGTCCCTGGAAATCCCGACCCCTCCTCCATGGCTTGCTTTTTCTCCGGAGCATTTCTGGGACAGTCCGGAGGCCCGGCGGGTGAGGACCCCCCCGGGGCCGAAGAGATCACCCCCAGGCCTCCCGTCGTGACCCTCTCGCGAGGCGAGCATGGCCCGGCATGCACCACGCCAGGGCCCAGGGACGGCCTGGCCAGGCACGGCGGTGGTGTGCCCTGGCGCCTCCTGCGCGTCGGCAGGCCCTGGTTCGCTCGCCACCCTGGGGCTCCGCAGGCCGCCGCCCTGGCAGAAGCAGGGGCTGCAGCCGATGCCGCGCCCCGTCGGCTGCAGGATACGTCGCCGCGCCGCTGGTGCCGACGCGCGGCCTTGCGTCTCCGGGGGGGCGCCGCGGCCACCAGGGCACGCTCCGCCTCAGACGCCGGGTCTGCCGTGGGTTCGCCGTGGTGTCGGCGCCGTCCGCCTGGGCGCGCCGAAGAGGCAACGGCGCGGCGACATGCTTCTGTTCGAGGTCGAGTAAAAGGCGAAGACCTCATCAAAGCAGGAGGGAAGCGCACACACACAGATCATCGTCGACTCCCATGAGAATATGGGGCAGTCTGGGAAGTGTGCGGGGGGGGACGACGAATCTCGAGCACACATGGGAAACGAAGAGCGCCATCCTGAGATCCGCGTCTGCCTCTCTGTGTCCCTGGGCCCCCCTCTTGTTTTTTTTGTTGCTCCCGCTCTTGGGCTCATCGCTGCGCCCTCCCTCCGTACGCGCGCCCCCAGCGCCCGCGCTCAGCGCGGCGCCAGGCGGAGGTCTGGTGCCGCCCGTCCGCCCGCCGCCACACCCCCGCCGCCGCCCCCGCCAGTCTGGATCCCGGTGGATGCCGGCCCATCCTCCGCCCGGGCCTGCAGCGACGCTCTCCCTCCCGAGGCGCCGCCCCGGCAGTCGCCACTTGCCGAAACCACCCCCAGCCCCCTCCTCACGCCCCCAGCCCGACCCCTCCTCACCCTGGCCCCCCTGGAGTATGGCAGCATCTTTCTGCTCGAGGCTGAAGAGTAAACAACAAAAACAAACGTTCGCTCGCCACCCGCCGCCCGCTCCCGACCAGGTCCGTCGTCGTCGTCGTCGTCGTCGTCGTCGTCGTCGGCGTCGTCGTCGTCGTCGTCGTCGTCGTCGTCGCGCCGCCCCCGGCGGGGGCGGGGCACGGGGTCCCGCGCCCGCGGGGCGCTCCGCCGCGCGCTCTCCCGCGGGCGCGCGGCCCGTCGATCGGGGAGCAGCCGCGAAAGCCCACCTCTGGGCAGGCGGGGCCCTCTTTGGAGCGGCCTCGGCCTCGAGGGCTCGCTTCGGGGGCTTGCTTCGAGGAGGAGGAGGAGGAGGAGGAGGAGGAGGAGGAGGAGGAGGAGGAGGAGGAGGAAGAGGAGGAGGAGGAGGATCGCTTCGAGGGCTTGCTTCGAGGGTTCCAAAGGGGGTTTTTGGGGAGGGGCTTTTCCAGAGAGCCCCCCCAGGGGGCCTCGGGGCCTCGTCAAAACAGGGGGTGCGAGGCCCCTGGGGGGCCCCGCCTGGCAAACCCCCTCCCCCAAACCCCTTTTGGAGCCCTCCGGCGAGAGGATTGAGGGTGGTTCTGAGCACCTTTGCATGATGGTGCCCCGCTTCGCTGGCCCGAGGTCCGGGAGGAGCCGGGAAGCCCACCTCGGGGGAAGTGGGGCGTTCTTGGAGCGGCCTGGGCCTCGAGGGCTCGAGAGGGTTGTCGGCGGCGAGCGGGCGGGGCGAAGTATCGGGTTCGAGGTTCGAGGTTTTCGGACGTTTTCGTCGGTCCTCGATGGTCTCCCAGTTTCGGGATGCATTCTGGCGGCTGTACCTCGCCGAGAGCGTTCCCGGGGCCCGAACGGCTGCCAGAGATGCGAGCTATGACCCGAAAGCCAAACTCGGCAGCGCGCCGAGGGGGGAAGTCAGAAGGAAAGGCCCTGGTAGAAGGCGGCGGGGCTTCTCAGAAGCCCTCCGGCCTTCTGAGGAGATTTCTGCGTCTTCGGGGAAGCTCAGGAGACTTCTCAGAATACTGGGGGGCTTCCCAGCCTTTGAGAGGGCCTTCTCCTTCTCAGTTCCCCCGAGGCTCGCCTCAGGGATTGATGATGGGTTTGCGCACCTTTGCACGATAGCGAGATCTGTGCCGTGCTGATCAACATAGTGCGTGGGCGAGCAGCTTTGGCGACCCAGCGCCTCGATTGCATGTCCGGGAAGAGTCGGCCAGCGGTGCCCCGCTGCATGCCGTGCGAAAGAAAAGACGTCTCTTCTTCGGCGGGAGGCCGGCGGCAGCAGAAACGGGGGCGGCTCCGCCGGCCGACGGCCCGCGGAAGCCGGCCCCCGGAGTAAGACTGTTCGGCCCCGGCCACATGCACTAAGGCTGCGAAGGCAGAGTCCCTGGAGTTCCAGGCTGCGCCCCGACGATTCCGCCATCCAGTTCGACTCCGCCTTCCACCAGCAGTACTCCGTTCCCTGATGCATTGCCTGCTTCGACGACGGAGTATTACGACGACTCCACCGAAGCCGAGGGGCAGTGCGACGACTCCCAGTGCGACGGCTGCAGTGCCGAGCTCAGCGTCTCGGCACTGGTGTCCTGGCGACACTCTCAGTTCTTTTCACGCCGAGGATTCGCCTATGGATGATGTCAAGGCCATGTATACGTTGAAGTCATGTGTTTTATCTTTTCGTCAACGTGAAGCCTGCTCAAGTGCCCAAGTCTACGAATCCGAAGCCGTTTTGGCCCAAGCACCTCAAAAGCTTCTTGATCAGTGCGGCTTCTCCTACGCTGATTGGCCTTAACATCGTTTTGATACCAAATGGAGGTCGCTGATGTAGACGCAGCGGGCGTCAAGACTTGCGCAGCGAATCCTCAGAATCTGGCGACGTTCCCTGCAGAGTCCAGCAACAAGACTTGCTGCCTCAGATTCTGGCCGTATTGTTGTAATCCATGTTTCCCTTGTTTCTTATTTGCGTTGTGCATATGGTTGGCCGGCTTCATAATGATACCGTTCGTGGTGCCCGAGTTCTTCTTCAGCACTGCTGGAATGGAAGATGACGCCTGTCATTGGATGCGCACCGTCATGTTTTGGCTGACGTTTGCCGCGATGTTGCTCTGTTTCTTTGGCCACGTGATCGCTGAATACAGCCACATGGTCGATGAATGCCACAAGAAGTGTGGGTCGGATGCAGTCGCCAGATTACAGGCACTGGGAACTACCAGGAGCAGTGCCCCGGCTGCTTGTGTGTGTTTGTAGTTTGAGATGCAAGGGTAAGGCGCAGTTGCTTTAAGGAGCTATGCGAATAGCACGCCGCTCTGTATAGGCCACTACAGTTCTAATCGGGGGCAGGAGCATGACCACGATACTGTGATTGCACCCGCCGTCCCGGACAGTGTAGTGGACATTCTGCGGGACAGGTTTTTCGAGGCATTCTTTGCAACCGCCTCCCCAATAAGTTCGTGACGCTTCGCGTGATTATCCCCACCAGCTCATCCATAAATAATGCTCATGAGAGTTTCTTGGATGAGAACGGAAGTTTAATGAGGAGATGAGAAGGAGGAGCAGACCGAGCGGGAGCAGGAAGAGGAAGAAGAGGAGGACGAGGAGGAGAAGGATGAGGGAGGAGGAGGAGAAGGAGGAGGAGGAGGAGGAGGAAGAAGAAGGAAGAGGATGAGGAAGAGGAAGGGGAGAGGAGGATCAGGAGGAGGAAGATGATGATAATGAGGAGGGAGGAGGAATAGGATGAGGAAGAGGAACGTGGAGAGGAGACGGATAGCGAGGAGGAGGCCATCTTGGGCTATCAGGAGCCGTCTTGGCACCATCTTGGGCTCTGACGTGCCTTGGATGGGGGGGGGGGAGGGCAGACGGAGTGTGTGTGTGTGTGTGTGTGTGTGTGTGTGTGTGTGTGTGTGTGGGAAAGGGGGGGGTCTCAGAAGGAGCGATCTTGGGCTCCGCGGCTTAGGAGGGGAGTGGGGGTTTTCGTGGAGGGTTCCCAATTCGACCCTCCCCAGCCTCCCCTCCTTCCCCCTTCGAAGGTCGAACATGTGCGTCTTGAGGGGCACTCCTGGGGCCCTCCTGGGCACTCCTGGGGCCCTCGTGGGCCTGTCTTGGGGCTCTCTTGGGCCGTCTTTGAGTCAGCTTGCGGCCTCAGAAGTCCGTCGCAAGCAACATTGCAAGAGGGACGAGCTCATTGAGTGCCTTTGGTTTTGGTGGGATGAGTGTGGCCTCTTTGCGCGTTCGTTGGATGGCCCCGAGGGCACTTGGATCTGTCGTGGGGCCATATTGGGGCCTCTCGGATCTATATGGACATGTGGTTTGAGTAATATTATGTTATCGTGTGCCACCTTGGTTACCATCTTGGTGCATGGGGGGCCATCTTTGATCCACCTTGGGCACTACTGAACTCTCTACCCCCTTGCGCCCCTCCCCCCCCGTCCAGGCCCAGGGGGTGAGATAAGGGCAGGTGTACATCCCTTCCCGAATCTGGACATGTATTGTTTTGGGAGGGGGACGTTGTTAACTGTTGCAACGCCTCCCCCCAGAGGGCTGGTGGGATGTTTAGCGCTTCGCGTATCACCAACAGCCCAGCCAGAAGCGGTGCCCATGCGGTTTACTTTGGTGAGGGGGTTGACGCATGTTAGGAGGATGAGGAGGACAACGATGAGTCGAAAGGAGAGGATGACGATGAGGACCAGGAGGACCAGGCGAGACGGACAGGAGGATGGCGGTGACGAGGACGAGGGGAAGTAGGATGAGGAGTGGGGGGGGATACTGGTGGTGATGATGATGATGATGATGATGTTGCTAATGATAATGATGATGATGATGATGACGATGGCGATGATGATGATGATGTTGATGACGATGACGATGCTGCTGATGCTGATGATGATGATGACGATGGCGATGATGATGATGATGCTGATGATGATGATGATGATGATGATGATGATGATGGTGATGATATCGATGATGATGATGATGATGATGATGATGATGATGATGATGATGATGATGATGATGATGATGCTGATGATGATGATGATGATGATGATGATGCGGATGCTGAGGTTCATGCTGTTTCGGACGATGATGCTGGTGCTGATGCTGATGATGCTGATGCTGATGCTGATGATGATGCTGATGCTGATGATGCTGCTGATGCTGACGATGATGATGCTGATGCTGATGGTGCTGCTGATGACTATGATGCTGATGCGGATGACGATGCTGATGCCGATGATGACGACGATGCTGATGATGCGGATGGTGATGATGGTGACGACGATGACGATTCTGATGATGATGCTGATGCTGTGTTTGGTGATGATGCTGCTGATGATAGCGATACGGATGATACTGTTGATGCGGATACGGATGCTGATGCCGGTGGTGATGACGATGGTGGCGATGACGACGATGACGACGATGATGATGGGGATGATGTTGATGCAGATGATGCTGATGATGCTGACGACGATGACGATGATGACGATGCTGCTGCTGCTGCTGCTGATGATGATGCTGATGATGATGATGATGATGATGATGATAATAATCATTCTGATGTTCATGATGTTGACGCGGATGATGCTGCTGATGATGCATATGATGGCAGCACTGACGATGATGATGCTGACGCTGATGCTGATGCTGATGCTGATGCTGATGCTGATGATGGTGATTATGATGTTGATGATGTTGATGAGGGTGATGATACCGATGCTGATTGTGATGATGGTGGCGATGGTGAGCATGCTGATGGTGGTGATGCTGCTGCTGTTGATGATGATGTTAATGCTGAGGCGGATGACGATGGCGACGATGATGATTGATGATGATGATGCTGCTGCTGATGATGATGATGATGATGATGATGATGATGATGATGACGATGCTGATGCTGATGCCGACGGTGACGCTGCTGCTGCGATGATGCTGCTGCGAGTGTTGATGATGATGCCGGTGATGACAATGATGACGACGATGCTGGTGCTGATGCTGGTGATGCTGATGATGCTGCTGCTGATGATGCTGATGATGATGCTGCTGATGGTGCCGACGACGATGATGACGATGCTGATTCTGATGATGGTGATGCTGATGCTGATGCTGCTGATGATGACGATGATGATCATGATGATGATGCTGATGCTGATGATCATGATGATGCGGATGACACGGATGTTGATGATTATGAGAATGAGGATGGTGTTGATGCTGACGATGATGCTGCTGATGATTATGATGATGCTGGTGGTGGTGATGCTGATGGTGGTGATGACGATGTCGATACTGCTGGTGATGCTGGTGCTGATGATGATGCTGATGCTGATGATCATGGTGATGCGTATGATGATGAGGATGATGATGATGCTGACGCTGATGATGCTGATGATTGTGATTATGATGTTGATTATGCTGCTGAGGGTGATGATGATGCTGATGCTGCTGCTGCTGATGATGATGATGATGATGATGATGCTGATGCTGATGATGATGTTGAGCTGATGATGATGCTGATGGTGATGCTGATGCTGATGCTGCTGATGATGATGATGATGCTGATTACGATGATGATGATACTGATGATGCTGCTGATGATTCTGATGACGATGATGAGTATGCTGACAAGGAGGAGGAGGCGGAGGAGGAGGAGGAGGAGGAGGCGGAGAAGGAGGAGGAGTTTGGAGAGGAGGTGGAGGAGGAAGAGGAGGAGGAGAATGAGAATGAGAATGACTGAAGACTAAGTCTTAACTCCATGCTACACCGCTCTCTGACCACCTCCAGCGACACGAGGAGAAAGAAGAGGACGGCGACCATGCAATACTCCACGCGCTGCATGTAGGCTGCACCATACGGGCGGCAACGGACTTGGAGACCATACCGGAGTAGGGGAAATTCCCGCGTGCACCCCATTGACGACCTCATAACCACTTCGATAATACAACCTGTACGAGCGACTGCAGCCACGACCGATTGAAGCATATACCCCGCACACAAGAATGCCAGCAATCCACGAAGCCCACTTCCAAGCAGGGGAATAACAAGACTCCCACGTACACCCAAAAGCGAAACCTCCAAACCATTGCCGAAACATGCACAAGTGACTGATAAGGATACGCAACACTGCATACACAAATGGCCACAATCTTGAAAGATGCAGAGCGGTACCGATGCCGATCACCAGAGCTTTCAAACTGACCATTGAAACAATAAACGCAGCATGTGAAGGTACAGCAGGTACAAAAAAGCCGCAAGACCCTGTGGGTATGAACCCGGTGGGTATCCCATGGGCACAATAAAACAACTCGTACATATATTGAAATATAAAAGCTGGGCCACCATACGCACTTTGAAGCCCCCGCAAATCGGGGAAGATGAACCCAACATCCCACGGACATCCACGAACGCCTGACAAGTGTCCCAGGTGACATGCAACCATTGAATGAATTTGAACCTGACTCTGACACTTCGCCCCGCTCTTAGCCGACCCACGCCTCTGTGAATAGACGATGTCTAACATCCAGAGTTGCGAGAAGCCACAAGCACGCCGCGCTGAGGCGGCGGGGCAGGACCCATGACGCGCTTGAGCCAAAAAGGATCTACGCGCCTTGGGCCCAATGTGCTTGAGGAAGAGGAGGAGGAGGAGGAGGACGAGGAGGAGGAGGAGGACGAGGAGGAGGACGAGGAGGAGGAGGAGGATGAGGAGGCGGAAGAGGAGGAGGAGGAGGAGGAGGAGGAGGAGGAGGAGGAGAGGAAGAGGAGGAGAGGAGGAGGAGGAGGAGGAGGAGGAGAAGGAGGACGACGACGACGAGGGGGAGGAGGAGGAGGAGGAGGAGGAGGAGGAGGAGGAGAAGGAGGAGGAGGAAGAGGAGGAGGATGAGGAGGAGCAGGAGGAGGAGGAGGAGGAGCAGGAGGAGGAGGAGCAGGAGGAGATGGTGGATTAGGAGGGCCCTTTGGGGTCTTCTTGGCGGAGCGGGTCTCTGGGAGCCTCCTGTGGGCCTCTTCGGTTTCTTCGACCACCTTGGAGGCGTTGGCTTCCAGCGGTGCGACGGTGGATCGCTCTCGGGGCTCCTCGTTGGGCTGTGCTGGGGGGGCCTCCTCGGGCCTCTTGGGGCCATCTCTGGCTGGTCTTGAGGGCTCCACCAGGACCTCGCGGGACCTCCCTGGTCCCCTCCTCTCTGGCTACCCGGCGGGGAAAGGATCAAAGGGAAGGCGCTTCCCGCCAACTCGAATGCGACATGGGTCGATTC